CGGGTATAGGTATTGCTTCTGGCCAGCGTGTAAACCTGTCAACGCATGTGAGTAGATAGCAATATCCCTGGGAAGGGGGGAGTGGTCCCACGATGTCTATGTGCACATGATCGAAACGTGCATCTGGAGATGCGAAGGTTCCAAACGGAGTCTTGGTGTGGCTGTGGACCTTGGACTTCTGGCACTTGACGCAGGCCTTGGCCCATGCTCTGATGTCTGAGTTCATGCGTGGCCAGACGTAGCGTGAACCAACCAGTTTCAGTGTTGCTCGAATGCCAGGGTGAGACAGATTGTGCAAGGAATCGAACACACTCCGTCTGTGGTTTTGGGGTACGAAAGGGCGTTCATGACTTGTCGACACGTCGCACCAGATGGATGTATTTGAGTTCGGTATCGGAACTTGCTTGAGGTCCAGGGATGTGGGTGATTCCAGGATTCTGTGTAGTTCCTGGTCGTGTGTCTGATCCATGGCCATCTGCTCGAAGTCAATCTGGGTTGATGTTGTCAAGGCACTGATGTGAGATCGGGAAAGCGCATCCGCTACAACGTTCTCTGTGCCCTTGATGTGACGAATGTCGGATGTAAACTGAGATACATAGTCCAGGTGACGAACTTCTCTAGGTGAATGCCGGTCAGGTTTGGAGTTGAGAGCATACACCAACGGTTTGTGGTCAGTGTAAATGCAGAATTCTCGTCCTTCGATGAAGTGTCGAAAGTGTCTGACTGACAAGTACATGGCCAGTAGTTCGCGCCCGAAGGTGCTATAGCGACTCTCTGCAGGTTTAAGACGCTGAGAGAAGAAGGCCAGGGGGTGCCATACTCCTTCGGAAAGTTGCTGAAGCACACCGCCAACTGCCGTGTCCGAGGCGTCCACCATCATGGCAGTTGGTAGTACCGAAGAAGGGTGAGCGAGAAGTGTGGTGTCAGCGAGTGATTGCTTGATCTGCAGGAACGCTGTCTGGCATTCAGGTGTCCAATTCAGTTTGGTTGATTTGCGTGACTGGTTGGGTCTTTTTCGCAGCTGGTCTGTCAGCGGGGCGATCACGCTTGCGCAGTTTGGCACGAAACGACGGTAAAAGTTTACCAGTCCCAAAAAATCTGCGCAGTTGACGGGTGGAGGTAGGCTGAGGGAACTCTGCAATCGCGTCGACTCTGTCTCTCATGGGACGGATACCATCAGCGTCGATTCTGTGTCCCAGGAAATCGAGGGTGGGAACCCCGAACTGGCATTTGGATGGGTTGATGATAATGCCATATTCGGAAAGTCTGCTGAAGAGAAGACGCAAGTACTCAAGATGGTCCTCCTCTGTTTCACTCGCGACCAGGATGTCATCAATGTAGGCGTACACGAAAGGTAAGTCTCGCGTAACCATGTCGATGAATCGTTGGAAAGTCTGAGCGGCGTTCCGCAGGCCGAAAGGCATGCGAAGGAAGTGGAACAGACCGAAAGGTGTTGTGATGGCGTACTAAGTCGATCTTTGAGAACACGCGTTTACCCTCCAGATTGGCTGTAAAGTCATGCAGATGGGGAATCGGATAGCGGTCGGGTACTGTAACACGGTTGAGGGCACGGTAGTCTCCGCACGGCCTCCAGTCACCTGACTTCTTGGCCACCATATGTAAAGGCGACGACCATGCACCGTCCGAAGCTTCGATGATGCCGAGATCAAGCATATGATTGAACTCATCTTTCGCCGTGATGAACTTGTCGGGAGCCAGGCGTCTTGGGCGTGCTGACACTGGTGGACCCTTAGTCACAATGTGATGCGTTATAGAGTGCTTGACGTCCTTGGCAGTGTAAGTCGGACGTGTCAGTTCTGGAAATTGTCCGAGGATCACTTCATAGGGTGACTCACTCAGCTTGGCAACGGTTGGACTGATGGGAATGGCATTTGAACCGATTCCACCTACGGTGAGGCTTGTAGTGGAGTCGATGAGTTTGCGACGCTGAACGTCGACTAGCAGTCCGAAGTGTTGGAGAAAATCTGCTCCAATTATTGGGTTCGGCAGGTCCGCGATAATGAACACCCAACGGAAGACTCGACGCAACCCGACATCCAAAGTGAGTGACTTCTCACCATATGTGTTGATGGGAGATTTGTTCACCGCCTGTAGATTGATAGATGAAGACTGGGCATGACGTTTATCTGCAGCCGATGGAGGCCAAACGCTCACTTCCGCTCCAGTATCTACCAGGAACCGGGCCCCTGTCTTGCGTTCAGTGATGAAGAATAGGCGACTATTGGTGTCGGTGCCAGGGAGACTCGTCGCCTTTAGTCGCTGGCATCGGAGTTTCCCTGTTGTTGTCGGGGTTTGAAGCTGCATGGGGACACACACCTTCTGGCATCAGCGCCGAATCGCCAGTGATACCAGCAGTCAGTGCCAGAGTGTGATGGGCTGCGACTGCGAGATGGGCGTCGATTGGGTGGGGTTGTGTCACGCCTCCTCGATCTCCCACGGGGCTGACCGGAGAGTTGGCATGTGAGAGCGCTGACTTGTTGGGTTAGCTGGTCAACTTTGGCTTGTAGTGTGAGCATATCTGAACTTGGCATGGTTGTTGGAGGCGACGAACTGCCAGGCTGGCTGGATGAAACTGCCCCGACATGTACAGTAGGCGAGACAGAAACTTCAACAATCTTGTCTGCAAGTTCTGCGAGTTGCTCAATGGGTGTCGTTTGAGATGTTGATGCCAGGATTAGCTGGGCGTTGGTTGATAATCTCTGAAGAAACAGTTGTTTCAGGATGTTTTCTTCAAGCGTGTTGTCTCCTAACAACTGCCGCATACGACGTAGTAATTGTGAAGGCTTGCGGTCCCCCAGCTCCTCCGATATTAGCAACTGGTGCAGTCTTTTCTGCTCTGATACGGAGGTTCGACGGATGAGGGCGGTCTTCAGGCTGTCATAGGCATTATGCTCAGGGGGTGAAATGAGGATGTCCCTCACTTCAGTTGCAAACTCTGGCTGCAAGGAACCAACCACGTATGCGAACTTGGTGTGTTGCTGAGTGATGTTACGGGTTAGAAATTGCGCTTCAACTTGCGCAAACCAAAGGGCAGGGTCACTGGGCCAAAATGGAGGCAACTTCAAAGTCACTGCAGCTGATGTTGTGGGTGCAGATGGAGATGAACTAGCAGTAGCACCTTTGGATGTGCCCGGTTTGGAATCAGCATGATCAGAGTCAGATTTGGTTTCCATGTTGTTCGGCTCAGGTCAGGGTCACCAATGTAGGAATTAATTGTACTGTCCTACTTTAACTCCCGAGTTTATTGCAAGTTAAGTGACTCACCAAGTTGCAGTATGTAAACAGCCAAAACTGGGCCGAGTCCATGCACAACGCAACGCGAACGGGGCGACTGCCCGCGCCGTGAATGCGGGGCGAGTTGGTTTCAACTCACGTGGTGAAAACGCTCACAAAGTTCGGTCAATAAACACTCACAAAAATCCACGAGAGAAACTTGGATTGCTCACTGGAATAGCTCTGCCGATGTTTAATAAATCATGTAAAGAATAGCGTTGATTCTAGCTTGTAACTTCCAAGCGAAATTATAGGAAAAGCACTGTAAATATTGCGTGTGTGACAGAACGATAACGAAACGAAACTGAATGCGTGAAGGTTGACCTCTGAACTAAACATATATACAAGATGCGTTAAAGGCGCAGTGCAGTGTAACTCAAAGTGAACGCTACATATCCAATTATAAGGACTAAACTTATACAATCACATTCATAATAAATAGATCCCACAAAATAATTAAATTCTCAAATATATTGACGTTTGTGACACTTCCCCATGCTAAGAAGATACATTTTAATGGATCTTTCTATAACTGTCACCAAATCAAATTCAATATTACATATCCTTTGAATTAATTGCTCCTCTATTTGACATCTAATTAAGAAATCAGCTCCATGGTTCTCTGAACCCTTGACAACTCTGACCACATACTTGTATGGCTGTAGTGCAAGTGCCCATCTCATCACTCTGTCGTTATTCAATTTTGCCTTTGCAAGGTAGGCCAGTGGATGGTGATCAGTTTATAGAATAAACTATTTTCCAAATAAGTACACACAGAACTTTTTCACCGCCCAAACTAGAGCGAGACTTTCCCGCTCGATCACGGAGTATGCTTGTTCCCTGGCTAACAGTTTTTTGCTTGCATAACAGACGGGGAAATTTTGCCCCTCAATTTCTTGCATCAACACCGCCCGATTCCGTTATCGGAGTCATCAGTCCTCAGAATATAGGTCAACTCAGGATTTGGCAAATTTAAGATTGGTGATGTTGCCAATCTTGTCTTCAGGGTTACAAAAGCATGTTCCTGTGCTTCATTCCATTCTACTCGATTAGATTTGCCTTTCTTCACCAAGTCAGATATCGGTGCTGCAATTGCAGAGAAGTTTGGGATGAATCTAGAATAATATCCTACTAAACCCAAAAATGACCGTACTTCTTTCTTAGTTTGTGGTCTCTCAGCTTTCATAATTGCTTCAACTTTAGAAGGCACTGGTTTCAACACTCCCTCTCCTACAACATGGCCTAGAAATTCTAGTGAAGTGTACGCAACAAAGTATTTACTTGATCTTGCTGTTAAGCCAACTTCACGCAAGCGTTCAACACTAAGATGAAAGGCAGCAAGAGAGGGAACATCTAAAACAAATGAAGGAGTATGAACTCCAAATTGCAGAACAATAAAGTAACTTAACTGGTACTGCAGTGACTTTATAAGCACAGGTCAGATTAGGAATGTAAATAAACCTAAACTTCCTCTTTTTAAAGATCGAAAGGATGAATTAGATGCATACATAAAGCGCTTTGAAAGATTTGCTCAGGCTGTTGATTGGCCACAATTCTTAGTACACTATTGACTGGTAGGGCCCTAGAATTGTATTCACGATTACCTCCAGATAAGGCTAGTGATTATCAAGAGTTGAAGAAAGCACTTCTTCATAGGTAAGATCATACAGAGGAAGGTGAAAAGAAGGAGGCGGTCACACCGGTGATGGGCTGAGATTGGTTTTATTTTAAATGGGTACTTGGCCTGGTCTGGTCCTAGTATAAGCCTGTGTGGTCTGTGTAGTATGTGAGGTCTGTGTAGTCTGTGGTCCTACAAGAGGAATAAACACAAAGGGAACTAATAAATATTTGCACATGCCTAGGAAATCCTAATCATATCATAAACATTAACAACATAAACGTATGTCACTATAATCAGCCCAGCAATATACACAACATGTTTACATAAACCCAAATATATGGAGGTAAGGGCCAAAACACTTATAAATTAACACTGGATTTACAAAAGGGTCCCTAAATATCCCCAGCGAAGAATTAACCCCATGCAAATGTGTGTAGGTATGACATGGCATGTAATTCCAATATAAATCAGTACAATGAACATTACAACCCAAATCTAACAATAAACATGATAAACGTGAATTGAAATCCCTCCAAATATCGTATCAAGATTAACCAAAATTATACTCACTTTCAGTAATTCACGCACAGGGGGTATTTATAATTAACCTGGTGATTGGATTATAAAGGCAAATGATGATTTGGAGTCATTAACAAGGATTTTACGGACTAAGAATTATCTGGAAACAACGTGATTCGACAAGGATTTGGCAATTATAACAGTCAGTCACAAGAGGGCGCTGTTGTGCACTCCAGTGGCGAAGACGCTTTCGCACAGAAGGGTTTCGCTTTAAGTTGAGGACAGTTAAAAGAGAGGAAGGAGAGACATACAGTCAGTTTGATCCACGTATGGCTGGGTATTTGGATACACTGTTCAAAATTACGTTGTGCTACAACGGTTTACAGCACTGTTTCTGTAAATAATGCTAACGAATCACATAGAAACTCTGTAACGAACAGTTTTTGTTTCAGCACAAAAAAAATACTAGGAGAATCACATAGAAACTTTGTAATGATTTGTTATTGTTTTATCACGAGCAATTCTTTGTGTATCCACAAGCGGTACTTTGAAGCTTTGTTATTGTACAATGATTTGAGCCCGTGTTCTGTGTGCCTACAATTATTTTACTTGTAACCAAACTAACCAATTAGCGTAGAACTTGATGCCTACGTCATCCACCGCAGAGCTGCGGGACAAAAACAAACATGGCAGACCAAACTGACGATTCAGGGGTAAAAAACTCAACGTTTTGCACGACATGAGGAATTTCATGCTCAGTTTTACACAAAACGACATTGCCATTTCACTCACAAACGTACACATCAACGCTGTTTGCAATCTGTGGAACGTAGACTGGTTTTCGTTTTATACCCATTTTTCGTAGATTTCTAGCGACAGCCCAGCGCGTGCGCGGCATCGAAGTGGAGTTCCGTAGAAGTAGAACGTGCGTGGAGCGGCACTTGTCACTCGACTTTCCTCATGCAGTGTTGCCAAACCTCTTTGTTGAAAAACTTCAAATACCTTCAGTAAAATACTGGTACTAATGCCAAAATGATACATGCTGTTTAAACTTTGTGAACAATTTCAGTGTCATGAAATGAAGTCCGAAATTCAAATACGGTGGCGTCCGGAAATTGGGCACAAATTCAGCTGAGAGTTCCCTGTATATTAACATCGAGCTCCTTTATATAGCTCCATGCCTGTAACGGGCAACGTGGCGCACTTGAACAAATCTCGGAAAATCCCACATTAACCTTTAAGAATTTCTTTTAAAATCATTATAATCTCCACTCATGTACCCAACTACTAGGTTGTAAAAAAATGATGTTTTTATTTTTATGCGCATTTTAACAGATTTAATTGTGCACTTAGAAAAAAAATCGGAAAATCACGCCAAAATTAAATTTCATTTGAACTTTGAAGCGGGTAGGTAAACTCAAAATTTATAAACAGCAATGACATTTCTCAAATTGTGAAATTTGAGGTAAAAATTTGGTTCTAGCAAGGCACTGGAGGCGAAAAATAAAAGTGTGCAACGTTTAGGGGCCGCGCCACGTTTAGGCCACAAAAAAGTCTCCGGTTTCTGGTATGCCCGCGCGTCGACGTAGCCATGCGCGTCGGCAACATGAAACATTTTTTTTTTCAATGAAAGATGATGTCTCAAATCCGCCAAACTCACTGGTTTGACTGGAATCATGCTGCTGCACAATTTTAACGAGTTTTTGATTGGGTTATGGTCGAGAATAAGCTTTATGTGGCCTCTCTGGACTCCCATATATTTGCACTACGTTTAGTCGGGCATCTTTTGCAGTCATCAGCCGACATTTTGAAGCAAAAAAATCAGTTAAAAAAAAAAAATCCGCGTCGCCGCACCACTTTTTGGGCAAACTCCATACCAGAAACCGGAGACTTTTTTTTGGCCTTAGGGTACGTCAACAATAGACAAGCTTTAGCCAAGATCCATCCGCATCCATTTGTCAACCAGTGGTGATTTTGCCTGGTACCCGAGTCGTATTTTGTGCATTGGTTACCAGGTAAAGTCACCGCATGGGTGACAGATGGTCAGTGATCGAACTTGGGCCAGATGCAGGTCTAATTAACTCCTTGTACCCGCTTAATATACAAAGCCTAACCCATGACCCAGTGCGTTCTACACGGCCGGGGCGAGTGTACGTTTCGCTGGTGTTCCTGCGCTGTATTCGTGAATTATTATCAAGATTGGTGTTGACAATAGTCAGGTGGCTTAGTGAAATTACCGTTACTCGGCGGATAAAAGCACCATATTTGGCACAAGGGTCCCTTGGGGCCTATTAATTAATGTTAGCCTAGGAGCCCTCCGGAATTTAAAAAAAAAATCATGTAAAACACATAATTTCAAAATTGCCTACATCCATGACAAAATATCGCATTTCTCGAGTCCTGGGAGTCATAAATAGCACAGGGTGGTTGCCAAATTTCTGATTTTTAGGCAGTTGAAGGTTACTTTGGACATTGTAATAGTACCATTATATTTTTAAAATATTTTTAATATCAATATTCCAATAACATGAAAATTTTCAATAAACGTCCACCTTCATCTGGTTGGAAGGGAAATGTTATCACCCCCCCCCAAAAAAAGTGAATAATCGTGAATCATGCATTTCAGTAACTAGACAACACTCTTTTTTGAAGCAACTAACACCACTGCTTTATTTGTAGGCCACCAAGTAGTTTTCAATTTTCGTTACTACATGCATCTCACATCACAGAGACTAGGCCATTGCAGGCATTTGAGTTGAAATGCAATGTGTACAAAATTCTTACAGTTTCTTACAATGTATGTGCAGTGGCGTCACCAGACTTTTCAGTCTGGGGGGGCACGGGGGGGGGCACCAGCATTTGATGGGGGGCACTTAGGTGGATACGGATCGCCGTCCTGGGGGAGAGGATGGGCTAGATGCAAAATGGTGCCACATTTGCAGCTCATTTGAAGAAAATACGAATTACTGTGCTTCTTTGTCCTTATGAAAAACCAACTCAGATGATGGGAGTTGAATATAACAAAATATATATATATTTTTTTACCAACCCAAATCTCAGATGGGGGGGCACTCGGGGGGCACTAGGTTTTCCAGGGGGGGCACGTGCCCCCCCCCCCCTGCCCCCCCCCCCCCCCCCCTTGGCGACGCCACTGTGTATGTGGCATTGTTCTGTAATGTCTAACACACACTTTACAGTGTTACAACTTGCAAAGTGGTGAGCAATCCAGATTTGCTTTGCCGCATTTGCGGCAAAAGCAGTCTCCTTTGCAGGAGCGTATTTGATAAGCTCTCTGCACGAGCTGGACATTTCTGAAATGTTCATCTTTACTGGTACCCATGACTGATATCTTGGGCCAGTCAAACTCCTGCGGAGATGGAACCAATAGCTGTGTTTGTGAGCTATTCGTCCAGATTCCTGATTGATACACTGCCCGTCTGACATGCTGGAGTACCCCATCCTTGGTGGATGGCAGTTTGTTCATTGCTCGATTCTTATGGCAGAAGAGTTCCCTTCTTATTCCCATTGACAGAGCTCAGGGGACTGGTTTTGTCAAATAGGATTACAGTCAGTCTCTCGATCCTTAGAAAATGGTCATCGTTGAGATCCAGCATCTGGAAAGGATGACCAGCCAGATACATGTCTCTGTGACGTCTTCATTGTCCTGCCACTGAGGCCTGCCCAACCGACCTCTTATACCCTTGAAGTTATAAAAAGCAAAGTGTCGCAACCTGAAAATGCGTGGAACACAGGTAATGCTCATGATTGAGGCTCCCCCAGGTTTGCGCAGATGGCCTTGATGTGGTAAAACTTGTAATTTTTACCCATGCCAAAGACCACCAAGATGTCGGCCAAAGGTTGAGTCGCAATCAGACTTGGAATGTGCCAACAAGGATGACTACAGCATCTGTGTCCCCAGTACGCACATAGTCTTTCCCCCCTGTTTCAGTGCATGTAGCACATGAACCACAACACTGGTGTCCTCATGATTACAGTTTTGCATGGGGGATGCTGTCACCAATGGATGTCACAGCTTGTCCTGATGTGACACGTCCAGTTCAACTCTTCAACCTTGCTTGGAAGTCAAAAAGCAAACAGCTCCTTCTAGTTGATTGGGTCACGGAGGAAGTCCATCCAAGCACTGAGTTTGGTCTCACTCGACACTTTCCTGTGTACACCCTTACATCTTTTCCCCCGGATTGACTGCTTCAAACCGTCTGGGATGTATGTGTCCCACACAACATCCAACCTCGCGGCATCCTGCAGCTGCTTCCCCAGGTAAGGGACGAAAACCCTGTCTGCATACTCATTGAAGGTGCTGACGCCGATAGTGGGCAGGCAGTGTACGATGACGGCACCATCCAGGACTTTGCAGTCATAGGTTGAAAGTGGCTCTGATTGACGTGGCTGCTCAAGACATTTCAGCAGGTCAGACTTCGTACTTGGCAAATGAAGCTTGTCAAAGTCTGATAGGTAAGGAGGGAAGGACTGTATCTCATGTGCAAATAATTCGGCCAAGTCACCATCGCGGTTCTGCGTAGAATAATGTTTAGCTGACCAAAGAGTGCCAGATTGTACTGAAGCACTTTGATCTTCTTCACCTGCTAAGATGTTGCCTTGCGTTTAGGTTTCCTGAATAGTGCTATAGAGAATTACTCTTGACTAGATTATGGATAGAGTGGCTGCGCACATCAAGCACATTCTTGACGAAGCCTTGAACTGTTTCTTGCCTTTGTCCTCCATGGTTCGCAATGCGGCCACCACTGATTCATCTGTGCAGTTGCGACTGTCAAGAGTTACAAGAAGGGATTGATCATTTATCTGATGGTATCAGCGAGGCTGGCAACCTGTCTCTTGAAACTCATCTGTGTTGAGAGACCCTGCTCGTGGTGCTGGAAGCTCTCTGGGATCCCTGTGTCATCATTGGGAAGGTATTCTTCTTTAAATTGCTTCAACATCCTAGCCATCTCTGGTCCCGAGATCATCCATCGTCGAAAAGCAACAGGATTTGCTGTGAGCCCAACAGCACCATCCAAAACTTTCACAATCTTGTTCTCAAACTCATCCTTGATAGTGTCGGGAAAGGACTTCATAACCTTGATGTGGATAGGCATCCACATCAATGGACCCTGATGAAGATGAGAATGAGGGTTTCATATCTCATGATCAGGTCCCAGAACATGGAAGTACGACTCTTCTTCTGCATGTCGTTGCTCCAAGCCGTGGCGACTCTTCATCTTTGGCGCCCTCGC